ACTGAAATGTAAGTAGGCTATGTCATATGAAAGCTTTGAATTATAACCTCACTAGTTATATTAATTAATTTTGAACGAAAGGAAACAAATATTTTTTCATTTCGTTCCATGGAACGGTCCATTTGTATATGGACCCCCCTGATAAAGCCTTGCTCACCCTTTGGCCACCCCTTGAAAAAAAGTCTAGCTCCGCCACTGTGTCCTGTTGCTCAAATTACTGGCATGGAGATTCTTATATGGACATTGCTTCGTAATCCTGGGCACAGTTTTAAGTGATCCTGGGTTAAGACTATTTACAAAAACACCCAAATGGTACAAAAGAGAAGCAGAAAGTAGAGAAAAAACAGAGTGTATCTGGTGGTTTATTTATTAGTAAATGACAACCCTACTTTTTTTATATTCCTCGAAGCTGAATTAAGCCATTTTACTTACAGAAACTATGTCGGTTGGAGCCAGTGGTTGGCCGTGGGCGGAGCTAAGAGAATTGTGAATGGGAGGAGACAAGGAGGTCATGTGATAAGAGGGGCCATTATGTGGCTTCGAGCGACAGTGTTGCTAGGTGTAGTGGGGAGCCGGGGACTAGTCAGAGCTATGGTGAGTATACAATTCTGTCTGAAATACTTATCCTGAATCTTTTACTTTCGATAGGAAGTGATACTAAAACCTTTAGCCGCCTGAATGTTAGACCGCATGTAGGTCACATTCAGGACTGTTTCGGTGCAGCACTCAAATGAGTCCGATGTTACGTTTGTTATCGCTAGCTTGAAGCTGCAGCAACGACAAAAGCTGCAGCTTTCGTTGATAAATTGGGCATATTGCAAGTTCTGAGTTAGAATATTCTGGACGTGCTTTTGTATGAAATGCGTTTTCCAGTGAGCCATTGAAGGTTTCCGTGTTACGTCAGCGTCGCTATGTTTTGTTGATTTGTAGAGCGTTTAAATAATCCGCTGCACCTGCTTTAATCCGTGGTGTAAAACAACAAAGCTCTTCCGTTTATGCCCAATCCTGTTATTTTCCTCTTTGTTATTTCGTTGCTAACCTAAAATCTCCAGTGGCTCGTAATCAGTGGAGATTACGAGCCACTGGAGATGTTAACACCGAAATCTCTGCGCCTTTTCAGCCCCTTGTCCGCACCGTGCGGACGATGACACAAATAGTGCGCAGAAAATGAGAACTGGTGAACTCGCAAGAAAATATGATTCATCTTCTTACTTAATCTCACTCCTGCCCTTTAGTCAGTGCTAAAGGGCAAGGGGAAGATCCAACCCTGCCTTTTCTTCGCATAACCATGTAATATGACTTCATTTTTCAGTGTGCTCAGGTGGATAATTGGAAAACTGCCAAGTCTATCTACGAGTTCTCTGCCAAAGACATCGACGGGAATGAGGTGTCTCTGGAGAAATACAGGTAAAATGCATTTGCTACACCTGGAAGTTCAGCTATACCTTAAAGTTCCAATTTCTGATGTAATTTTGGCAATATGTAGTCTATTTGTACATGTAAATTGATTTTAGACCAGGTTTTAAAGTAGGCCTATATGTGTCTGATCCACTTTTTGGTGGATTTTGGGGGAAACAAGCAACTTGTCCTCAGGGAAACTAAACAAACTGTGTTTGCAAAAAGGTTACCAATACACCAGGTTATATGCATGCATTATTGTACTTAAAAATTTTAAGCAATTTTTTTTTATTGCTTAAAAATGTTTCTCTTTATTTCAAAGTGAAACTTTCATTTACACAGAAGACAAATCTGTCTGTCCTGAGGTAATTTGTTAGTCACATAAGACAGACATTGCGTGCAACCCACCCTTCATTGTTATTGATAGTTGGAGTTAAAGTTGACAACCTGCAAGCAACATCGATTAAGTAACCAAATGCTCATCAAATGCTCATCACACTTTCAGATACCGTAACTGATTAACCCGCTAATATCGGCTTGTTGTTTTACTCCGTAAAGATTGTGAACACGAGTAGAGGGATAATTTTATGCATAATGAGCATATTTATTTGAACATCTAATAAATTTAGCCAGTATTTATTCTTTAGTTTTGTTCATATCCATGCATGACTAAGACATGCAAGCTAAAAATCAAAAGCAACATGAATAGTTGTTGCTTGCCTGTTGTTAAATAACAGCAGTTCATATTATGTTAGTTTAAGATGATTGTGGAGCTACTTATTAACTTGTAACTATGGTATTATTACCCAGGGTTGGGTCATATCGTGATACTCCTACCATCTTAGTTCTAATTGTGACAACTGTTTTCAAACTGCTTTCTTTCTCAAGTAGTTGAGGGGATAAAAAATAACTCATTATTCAGGAATTGTGACTACTAATATTTGGGTTTAAGGCAGGCAGCTTTGTGGAATTATACCTGCAGTGACATATTTGTTCCAACACTTTTACCTTTTCTTTTTTCTGCCAGGGGCCATGTTTGCATCATTGTAAATGTAGCCTCTAAATGAGGAAAGACGAAGGTAAACTACACTCAGCTTGCGAAAATGCACGCTACGTATGCTGAGGAAGGTTTACGCATCCTGGGCTTCCCATGTAACCAGTTTGGAGGACAGGTAATGAATGCATCATAAAACTGATGCTGGCACCATTTTTCTGAATGCTTTTATACTTTATCATTTTGTTTTCTTTGTAACATAGGAACCGGGGACCGAAGCCGAGATTAAGGAGTTTGCTAAAGGTTACAACGCAGAGTTTGACCTCTTTAGTAAGATTGAGGTAAATGGAGACAATGCTCACCCTCTGTGGAAATGGATGAAGGCACAGCCCAAAGGAAAGGGATTGTTTGGAAAGTAAGTCAGTTTTCTACTTTTTTTTTCTTTGTGATCATAGTCTAAAGCAGGTTCAAGCCACTACTTTACCTGTGATTATGTCTCTTTTTCCCTAAACCTAATCCTCAAGGCAATGTATCTCTGCTAAATCGCTGTTGTAACAGACGAGTGAATTACGCAAACCAGAGTTAAATAACCTGAGTCGTAGCTATTATTAATCATGTACAAGAGAAGGCCTTAAATATGTTGTTGTGAAACACAAAAGGGCTTTTAAAAGTGCGCTGTATGAATGAATTCAGTTTTCATTTGTTAATATGCGAGGTATTAAGAGTTTCACATGGTTGTATTGCGTAACTCCATTTCTGATGTAATGAATCATTGCAACTACCAGATTATCTCTATCTGCTTGATCCTGAGGATTTCTAAGGAAATGTGAAAGTTTTTGCAGGGCCTTCCTACTTCTATTTGCTTTTAAAAATACCCATTAAAAGCTTCTTTAAATTCAAAAGTAAGCTGATATTTATGATAGGATGACTGCTTAAGGATGATAGCTTTAGCAGTCATCCTAAAGCTATACTTTTAAAATACTGTTATTTAAAACACTCCTGTACATAACTATAAAGGTTTGGTTGTAATTCATATCCATTTCTTCTACCAACAGTAACATCAAGTGGAACTTCACAAAGGTAAATTGGAAATGGGCTTTTTGCTCACAAAAATTTTCTTCGACCAAGTGTGTTAACTGTGATTTATTTAGTTTTTCCCTTTCTCTGCAGTTTCTGATAAACAAGAGTGGGGAGGTGGTGAAGAGATACGGTCCAACTGACGATCCAGAGGTAATCCATTGCAGCTGTGTTTACATATTTCTGTATATGGCATCATTCACATGATGCTAGAGCTAGAGGTCTTACATTTTGTCAAATCTCAACCCTCAAAACCTTTGTCTTGATGAAAGCATAGAACCAATAAACACTTTTCTTTGAAACTCAAACACATTTCTCTGTGCAGGTGGTGGAAAAGGATCTGCCCCCATACATGTAACACTGTTTTGCGTTCCTCTATTGCCTGACCTCTCATGTGAACTTCACGGTATTTGTGCGTGTGTATCTGGACCAGTGATGGACCTGTCTGTAAACCCAAACTTGGGAGGGACAGGGCCTGATGACCCCCAGCGTGCAACTTATTTCCAGAAACAGCTCGCTTCAAACCTTGTAAAGACCACTTGAGAGGATATAGCCAATATAGAGAGATTGCATCATGGATTTCACTATAAACAGCCATTCCTTTTTATTCAGTCCAAATACCATCCCGATTTATTTGTTTTTTAATGAGTTCACTTACATTTGTTTTGTTAGAACAAATGCTACAAATAACTTGGCTTTTTGTGCAGCTAGTTTATCTTGCACTTGTCAAAACACTCGTTGGAACGTACACTGGTAACTTATGGAATAAAATGAAAAGATTAAATGCTGTCTTGAACATTCTTTTGGTGTTGCATTAATTTATTTACCTATATGTGAATTTTGTCTTGCAGCAAAAATTAGACAATTGCATCTGACAGTTTTTTTTATTACATTTACAAATTAAAATAAAAAATGTCTCCAATTACATTTGATAACATGTTTTGTTTTGTTTTTGCTTATTCATAGGCTTTCCAAATATTTTATTTGAGAAATAGACTTTTGACATTTAATATTTATACTGTTAGTTGACCAAACCAGGCTGACAAGATAGCAGCTTCTTCTTTTCTTTTTTTTTATATCTATATATCTTTTAACCTCTTGGCTGAATTTTGAGCTGAAATTGCCCTTGGCTGTATATAAAGATTTATATTTGCTCCATCTCTAAACCCGGAACGTGGTTTTGCTGGAGTTGCACATCAGTCTCAGTTTGGAGATGTGGAGCATGATCTGTTTTGAGGTATTTACTACTTCAGAGATAATTGACAGATGGGCTACGCTTGTAGTGAGAGGCTAAAAAAACATGTTGGGCTTCTCATTGGCTTCGGATGTAACCTCACACCACAAACCTTAGTTTTTATTTAGAACATTGCATTGCCTCCGAATGCATAATGGAAAAACGCGCAGTCGATTGCACATTTAGCTCGGACTGATGCAGCCGCTGCGTGAAGAGGATGACGCACAACAGCATCGGAGATGATCAGCACCGCTGGCTCTGAGGATGACAGCGTCGCCCCCCCCCCCAAAAAAAAAAAAAAAACAAGAACATCCAGCGACAAAAACGCTTTGACCGGAGAGTGATGCCGTCGTCTGCAGCTGAACCGGGAAACGCAGAGTAAGATGAGACGCCCGGCCGTTTAGCGGCGAGTCCCGCTGCACCTCATTCCGTTCGAGGCAGACGAGGGTTGCGCGTCGTCGCAAGGAGCGGTGCGGGACATGGACCCAGCGACTGCGGGAATCGGGAGTGATGGAAGCCCGACAGAGGCAGCGGCCGCCGGATCCAGTCTGCAGCTTGACTTTGAGGACACTGGTAGGTATTGGAGCCTAAATGTGTTCAATGCGATGTCAAGATCTCATAGGAGCATTTTGGTAGAATTTGTTTATTTTTTAAAATTATTTGTAGATGTGAAATAAGCAGCTTGAATAAGGTACAACACTTTAAAAAGCATTATTGGATCAAATAAATGGCTTGTCTTGATAGCTATGCAGATTTCTCTGCAGCAGGAGTTGTCAGTAGCTCCATGCACCCCGTGTCCTGTGTCTGTTTGGGAATGTGTGCACATGATGAGAGGAGGCAGAATACCTACCTATTTGAACATGGGACCATTCTACCTATGAAAACATCAATACACTCAATTAAAAATAGAAGCTGCATCTTTCTGTGACATGTGCTGCTATCATTGCAATTCTCATCTCATGACAATCTGAAGGATGCCTTTATTGATATAGGATTTTAACATAAATCATACTTCAGTTTCTTGCAGATATGGATGGATGGGCATAGGCTACATTTATTGTTTCATCTATGCCGAGGATGCTCCATGCTTGCTCGGTTGATAATTTAATAAAAACATGTTAAATTCACCTTCAGAGAGCAAGGGGATCAAAATCTACCTATGTTCAGTGTTACATTACTGTCATAGCTACAGACCCGCCATTTTCTCAGCTGATAAGAGGCAGATTTAATCCTCTTAACTATGACACACACACACACACACACACACACACACACACACACACACACACACACACACACACACACACACACACACACACACACACACATATAGGCCTTGAAGACGCACTTGAGAGCTCCCAAAATATGTTATCACTCTGTCATCATTTTGAGATGTCTCTGTTCGCTTTTTGTGTTAGTGCATAAACTTTGAAACTGAGCTCAGCTGGACCGTGACAGTGATGTTGTAGTGTTTGTTGCTTGCTGCTCACTGACACATTTATTCTGCTCTGACCCTAATCCCGCCGAGAATGTTTGTGTTCATGTCCTACACTCACTGTTCCTGCATTAATCTGCAGGTTACAGGTGTGGGCACTCTGGTGTAAAAATGAGGCGCTTTGTGGCACGTCTGCTGAAAGGAGGCTACAAAAGCCATGCAAATCAATCAAAGGACGATGACTCGCCTCATTGGACTTAAAATAACCACATTGATTTTAGATTCTCAAATAGTTTTATTCTAATTCTAATTTCTAATTGTGTACGCAAAGTTGGAGTTTGAAATTTGTATTATTTAGTCATTTTCATGATCTTTTTATGTTTTGTCAATAAATCTGTTCATCATAACAGTTGCTGTAATCCTCTGATATATCTTCTGTTGCCACAACAGGATACATGAAGTCTATGAGTGCATGCTAATATGCTAGGCTAGGGTTGGGACACTCCTGAAGATCTGAGTTTTGTTCAAGGAACTACTAAAGATCAGTTTTTTAGAGAATATTCATATTCTGGCACTTACCATTTCCACCCCTCTAACTGTACACTACTGTCACCTCTAATATCTCTGAAAGAACCTGACTACCACCTTTTAATAGTCAGGTTAAGTTATTGTTAGCTTTGATTTGGACTTTTTTTTTGTGAGTTATTCAGTTGTAAGTACCTTGTTTAAAAGTGTCTGCCAAATACATAAACACGCATGTTTTTTTTCCCAAATGTATGATATTCCCAAAGAATATTATTACAATAAGAAAAAAAATAAGAATAGTAAACATTCACTCGAGTTTTTTTGAGCTTTCAACAGGTTACTTCCGGGATTCTCCTCTATTTATCTGGATCCATCGTCTTATCTGCCCAGCTTATCTGCCTCTAGTGGGTGATACCACACAAAGTTTTGCATGTAGGGCTCAGCTCACCATTTCTCCACATGTTTGGTGTGTTCCTTACATGGCATATAGAAATTTCGAATGGGATTTACTGTAACCATTTTTTGATGACACTTGTTGCCACAGTTCATTCAAGACCAGATTTGTGCCTGTTTAGCCCTATAGTTGTCCTACTGACTGATTCCTTGATCTGAGCTGTTGATTTTTGCACCTCCTTAAAAGTTAACATGAGCCCCATTGCTGCTCATGTGAGAAATGCTCACAAATGCAGGTCTTACCATGATGGTCTTAGTAGGATCATCATGTCTTGATAGGATTGCATTTGTTCCATACTTTTTCCATTTTCAAATTATGAACAGTACTCCATGATGTTGGGATATTACTTTAAAACAAAATGCTGGTTTTGGTTTTCTCTTGCTTTATCTCTTACCAATTATTGTGTTTCTTGGTCCTCATACTGTTTGTTCCCTAATATCAGAACACCTGGATTTACAATGAGATCAAATTATACATTGGTAGATACTATTAGCTGACTCTGAAGGATATCAGTACACAGAACTTTATTTGTTGGTATCAGAATGGAGTGGCTGCTGCTCCTCTCTGATGCACTGAACATTCTCCACATTTTCACTTATAAAACCATATAAGTGTGTCTTTCCACTTCACAGTCAATATTTATTTATAAATGTCAGATATTGATTCCAAGAAGTCTTCAGACCATATACATAAGTTGCATTTCAGTGAATTTATTTATTTTTTTGCTAATATTTGATTTGTATAATGACATCAAAGATGTATTGGCACTCGCTAACCCAAGCAAAAAAGTTATTTTTTCAGCATATCATTTATTGCACATTGCCTCCAGTAGGGCAGCACCATCTGCTACAGTCTCTTTGTGTTCATTTCTCATGGCTTAAAGATTCATCAACTCAGCTCCATTAGGAACCTTAATCTCCCTCTTATGACCTCACACACCATAAAAGATAGCACATAAGACATAAAACATACAGTACTTTGATGCACAAGGTGCTGTCTTTCTGATTAACTTCCTCTTCCTGTCTAATGGTCCCACATACACACACACACACACAGCATCTAGATTGGTCTATCTTGTCTGGTGGAAAGACTTTTTTAATCCTTGATTGTGATTGGTTGGTGAAGTGATCTGCAGCATCCAGCCAATGACTGCTCTCAGATTAGGCAGGAAGTCAATCCAATAGAGTTTTTACCTTGCCTGCACAAATCTACAAATCTTACTGATCCAGAAATAGAAAACAGAAGACGTCGAGGCTGAGAAGAGATTTTTCTTTCGGCTCAATTTTTCTCTTTTTTTTTCTGGATCTTCAAAAATCTTGCAACCTATAGGTGGTGAACTCTTCTTCTGGTGAGTTAAATCACCAATTTACCTGGAGCAAGGGTAGCAAAAGACGTTAAGTTAGCTCTTTTGAAGTTAAGGTATTATTAAGAGTTTTTGTTGTATGTATCTTTCAGTAAATATCCCTTGTGGGGATATTAAATGTTTGTCCAACTTGAGAAGCCTCTTGTTCTGCTTTGTGCTTATTTAATTTGCTTGGATGATTTTTACCAACACCACAAGCTTGAATTTTGAGCTGCAATCCCTCGATAAATAACAAATAATATTTAATAATGCATTGATGTAGGCACCTCTTGATCTTTCTTTCCTCTGTGTCTACAGATTCAGCCCAGAAGGCTCAAATAACAGAGGTGAGAGGCGACTTCACATGATACACCTGACCGTCTCATCTGTCCTTAGGACTTATTCTAGCTTCTGTTTTACATTCTTTCATAATTCAGCTCAACCTTTTTGGGGTATTAGAAGTCGTTTGTGCTATCTTTGTCACAATCACAATGGATTTGTTTGCTTTGTGTCTGGTTTTAGATGCCTTCCCTGTTTGGAACAGAACCAAGTCGTGAGAAGAAGATCGGCCACAGGAGAGTAGATGCCCATGGAGAGACAACATATAAAAAAGTGAACTTTTATTTTGTTTGTTTAAACTGTCTTGGCCCTCTTACTTCCCTTCTTAGCTACTTTTCACCTTCACGCTCCGCTCTCTGTCCTCAGACCACCTCTTCTGCCTTGAAAGGGGCGATCCAGCTGGGGATTGGATATACGGTTGGCAACCTCAGCTCCAAGCCTGAGAGAGATGTCCTCATGCAGGATTTCTACGTGGTGGAAAGCATCTTCTTCCCTAGGTGGGTGAAGATCAGGGTCATATTTATTATTTTCATTTATATTAAATTTACTGATCCTAACCATCCCTTTCAGTGAAGGCAGTAATCTCACTCCAGCCCATCACTACCCAGACTTCAGGTTCAAAACTTACGCCCCCGTGGCCTTCCGCTACTTCAGAGAGCTGTTTGGGATCCGGCCAGATGACTACCTGGTGAGATCTTTACATAATCCATATTATACACTGGCTTACAAGTCTTTGGTACACAAAGTGATAATCTAAAAGTTCAACATAATTGATCAGGAGTTTATGTGAAGGATTGTGACCATTTTTTGTAAATAAAAATCTAAAAAGGTTGACATGCACTTTTATTCCAGCCTCTCTTCTTAAATACATTCAAATTACCTAAATGGCCTAATTTAATTTCAGCATAAACTCATTTGGTCTGTGAACGATTTAGAGATTTCTTAGAGAGCATTAGTGAACAAACAGTAACCCCCAAACCAGCTTGGATAATTTGACTAGATTTTAAAACAACATTCAAAGCTTTGAACACCTCGCAACCAAATATCTTCAATTTGAAATAGTGTGGCTTTGTATAACTACCAAAGTCATTCTTTTAAACTGACAGGTTGAACAAAGAGAGCATGAATTAGAGAAGCAGTTCATGCTCTGGGAGCTGTTGAGGAGCTGCTAAGATGCACAGCTCAGGTGGGGAATAAAAGTTCAGGCTGCAAATAGAAAAAGATAAAGGGGACAAATTCCAAGACTTTGTATTGACACAATATTTGCACTGTTATTGTCATTCTGTTTGGTGGTTGAGATTAAACCACGTAAACGGCCCCCAAAAAAACATACTCTTTAAGCTGCAAACAATAATAAAAAGGTTTATTTTAAATTATGCTATATTTTTTGTAGCAGGTGGTTTACTTTTCAGAATCCACATTTGCATGCAAACTTGCCATGAAAACCTTCAGAGCCATATTGTTACACAAGCCTATGAGGATCATGCATATCACGGTGCACCTGTGGCCCCACAGTGACAGCAACACGTTTAAGCAGCTGGTCTGTGCCAAATAGGGATTAGAAGAGAAAAGCTTTCCTGTTAAATTCCAAGTTGTGACAGCAGATGGCCCACATACTGTAATTTGTTTGTCTTCTTGTTGTTACTGTGCCCATTGAGGAGGAGTATTATCTCATGTTTTCTGATAAATACATACTGAATTAATTTGGCAAAGTACATGTAAAATTACCCCGAGCTCAGGTCACATTTCCATTACCAAACAATCCATGTATAAGAAGAAATTCAGAGTAAATGCAGGTGTTTTTCTCATATATGTTTTCTAATGTGCTTTCACGTTTTAACAAGATACGCATCACGTCTAAACAAAGTACGTATCATGTTATGACGCGATAGCGCTCAAATTATTTATTTATTTTTTTCTGCGTGACAGCAATGCACTTCCATACATGTCTTTATTTTTACTTTCAGACGATGAGTCTAAGCGGCAGGCTTGACAGGTCGAATTTTAACCTTTGTCCTCCATTTCTCTGTCTAGTACTCCCTGTGTAATGAGCCACTGATTGAGTTGAGCAATCCGGGAGCAAGCGGCTCCATATTCTATGTGACCAGTGATGACGAGTTTATCATCAAAACCGTCCTGCACAAGGAGGCAGAGTTTCTGCAGAAATTGCTCCCTGGATATTACATGGTAAGAAAATAGGATTTGTGTTTTAAGGTATTCTTAGTAGGCCTTCCTATATTTGATATTTATGACACACATATCAAAGAAATTTAAATATTAGAAATATATATCTGAGTAAATACAAATATCAGTTTGTAGTGTAATTAACCTTATTAATTAATTTATTTATTATGGGGAAAAATAACTATATAACCTCCCCTACCCAGTACATTTATAAATTAACTAATTAACCACATTTTTGGTGACTAATCATTTGGCAAAACATACTTTGATGATCCCAAAGACTTCTAGGAAAAAAAAAAATTTCTTTGAGAGACAAAGGTGATTTTTTGGAAGGTGTACATCCTATTGCACGCACAGTAAAACTAAGAAAGCATTTCAGAAAAATAACGTGATGGTTCCAGTTGAAAATGAACCATTATGTGATAGTATGATGGTCAGGGGCTGCGTTACTGCCGCAGTGTCTGTAAAACTTACCATGGATATTAGGTGGGCAGCTACCCTTTCATAAAGAACCAGAGTGGCTTGCCCACTTTTTCCTCTTGATAAATTAATTCACCATTTGTAAACTGCATTTTGCTTTTACTCTGGTTATCTTTTTTCTGATATTGGTATTTGTGATTCAAGTGTGATAAGCAAGCAAAACAGAAGAAATCTGTAAGAAGGCAAATAATTTTTCAAAACACACAATTAAGCCTATTACATTTCTTGAGAGCAATAGGGATAGTGAGCTGTTTGTGTACATGGCCTCTTACTCAAGAGGAGCAGTGCAACAGAATCTTCTAGTCATGTTTATCCTCTTTACCCACCGCTGATGCTGGCTCCCTGTCAGCTGTGACATCAGTAGGTGACTTTGTGGTGGGTCAAAGTTCACAGACATGCTCAGTTCTCAGTGAGGAGTTAAGTGTGCGCACAGGCTTGTGCTGTGGCCCGATGAGGTCACGCTATCTGGCAGGTGCAAACCCCAATGGAACGTAAGCCCATTTACCACTAATATGCTTTGTTTCCTTTTTCCTTTTCCTTTGTCCTTCACCCTGTCGACCAGAACTTGAACCAGAACCCCCGCACTTTGCTGCCCAAGTTTTTTGGCCTTTACTGCGTCCAGAGTGGAGGCAAGAACATTCGAATAATTGTGATGAACAATATATTGCCACGCTCGGTTCGCATGCACCTCAAATTCGACCTCAAGGGCTCGACGTATAAGAGGCAAGCATCCAAGAAGGAAAGGGAGAAGTCCAAGCCCACGTTTAAAGACCTGGATTTTCTGAGTGATGTTCCGGAAGGCCTCACTTTGGATCAGGAAATGTACAGCGCTTTGCTCAAAACACTGCAACGGGACTGCCTGGTGAGAAAGATAGCAAAAGGGGGGAGGGCATTATGGGTTAATAGATAAAGTAAAAAAATGAAAGCAGGTTTTGCAACAAAGAACATTTTGTTTAAATTCCCTTGAAACATTTTTATTATATTGTAAGAGAACATCTCAAAACTCACTTCGTTTCTTTGTAGGTTCTGGAAAGTTTTAAAATCATGGATTACAGTTTGCTGCTTGGCGTTCACAACCAAACCCTAGCAGAGAAAGAAATTCAGTCCCAGGGCTCACCAGCAGGAGGCGGCGACGAGAAGAAGCCTGCAGGACAGAGGGCTCTCTATTCCACTGCTATGGAGTCCATACAGGGCGGGTCCACATGCAGGGACGCACTGGAACATGATGACACGTATGTCCCTATTTCATAATGACCATCATCATTCTACAGCATTTAAACCTGATGGAAAATTATTTTTCTTATCTAGTATGGGAGGTATACCAGCAATGGGAAGTAAAGGAGAGCGCCTCCTGCTGTTCATTGGGATTATTGACATTCTGCAGTCCTACAGGTAGAAAATGAACTTATTTGATGCATTTTAATTACCATGACACTCAGGAAAGGAGACTAAAAATCAACCAACTTGAATCATGCATTTTTTACAACACAGAAAATGATGTCAATTTAAAAAGCGCAAAATAATTTTTTGGGAGTTTATCTAAAATCAGTCCTCAAGTGCTGCTGACCTGAATTCAGCACAGATCCAGTAATTAACTCATTAGCAGACTCCTGAAGAATCTGAATTTAAAATATGCACAATACCCTTGATGTAAAGTTAAATATTGAAACAAATCTAGACATAAATGACAAAATTCACCTTTGTGTATGTGTATTTATACTAACAGGGGCAGTAACTGAGGCATGACATATTCAAAAAATGGAAGAAAATAAAAAATAGAAAATAGTTATGATTAACTCTGTTAGCCTAAATAAAATTTTGTGTAACCTTGGGTGCTTTTAGAGAATATGTATGAAAAGAAAGAGCATTATTAAGAGTTGGGAACACAGCAGACATGTTGGAAATAAAGCTGCAGTCACAGATTTTCATTATCCAATCTGACTGAGTTATTTTGGAAAGAAGAATGAGCAAAAGATTTGGGCTCTGGGTGTGCAAAGCTAGTAGAGACACACACTGCAGCTGCAACTGCAGCAGCAAAAGGTTCTGTAACATACGACACATTTATAGGATTTTATTTGCTAAAAAATCCCAACCAGCAGCTGTGTATCATTCCGGTTGATATGTGACAACTTGATATGACTAGTATAGGTTTGCAATTCACTTTAAATAGCAATGCAATATTGTAAGAGGATGCCAGGGAACAAATGAAAAGCCATTCTTTTAAATATAATTTAAAATACACATCATTGCACTTTTGGAAGTTTATAATTAAATTTAATTGTCTTGTCTGACAGACTGATTAAAAAATTGGAACACTCCTGGAAGTCTCTCATCCATGATGGAGTAAGTTGCTTTCATGTGGCTGCTTTGAAATGTCTTTATTTGACTATACCAATCCACATTAAGCTGTCTATTTATGCAAGCTAATTAACTGTGTTAAGTCTTTCTATAGTCAAGACTTAATTATGAACACTGCTGTCTTCCGTTGAATCACAGGACACAGTGTCGGTCCACAGACCTAGTTTCTATGCGGAGCGGTTCTTCAAGTTCTGCAGCACAGTTGTGTTCAGGAAAAGCTGCTGTGAGTTGAAAGTTTCACATCTAGTTTTTATTTTGATTACTGATATGAACATGTGACGTTCTGTAAGAGGTTTCAAGGTAAATCATGTTTTTCGTTCCAGCATTACGACCATCTCCATCTAAGAAAGGTCGAGGGGCCCTGTCAGGCTCCAAGTACAGTGCTGGAGGCGGCTCGTCCGGTCAACGCCCCTCACTGACTGACGAAAGGCAGGAAAACCTGGAGAACTTGGAGAACCTCAGAGGAGCCCGCAGCTTTTCTATACTGGAAGAGAATGGTGAGCTATGCTGGTAACAATAATAGTAATAACATAAAAATTAAGTTAATGTATTTTTCTTTTACTGTGATTTAAGATAGGAAATATGGGAGGATTTAATATGGGACATATGGATGGATTTAACTACCTCAACACATTATGACTCTTAGCTTTGATGACTTTCCTCCTCAGTGGGTTAGGTCTTGCTTAGCTGATATAACGAAAGTCTCTAAATATATATATAAGAAAGCAAAGGCAGCGTAGAAATAGAAGCTGTAGAAACCAGGGAAACAAAAATTGAAGTTCCAGTCAGAAGTGTCTCTGCAATTTATGTGGGGATCATTGTCCTGTTGGAACACCCGGTTGTGTACAAGTTTTACCCATTTGAGTCAAGTTGATATATCCAGATGAAAGGAAATTGGATGTTTGGATGTCATTGTCCACTGTGAACCCATTTTAACATCAATATGGAATAAGAAGGTGCTGGTCAAGATTGAAGAATTTGCACTTGAATTGACACTCTGAAGCTCGATTCACACTGGATGATTTCTGCAGAAAACCTTTATGGTCAGATGAGACATAGATTAAACCTCACCTAAACGTAGGTGTGGCTGTCAAACTCGAGACCATTGTACTAAGTGTTACAGAACCAAGATTCTGTTAGAACTATCCAGTTAGAACGCAGTTGGTCCTCTTAAAACAAGATTTTGATTGAATTAAGCAGACTGACAATACGCTTCCAATCAGAAGTGCAAAGCTGCATGTGTAACTTTAATGGTTGGAATCAAAAACAAAAAGAAATGTGAAGAAATAACTTGTCTTGTCTCGCTCATATGATATTGATATCGTATTTTTGCTCCATTCAGGTAAAGAGCCGCCTGGCACCCCTCCGTCATTTGAAGACGCAACGACAGCATCTATTGCAACTACGCTGTCATCTAACAACTCTTTACCAACCACTCCCTTTGATACTCCAGAACATCCACGCCCCAGAAGACAAATGCATTCACCAAATATAGTCAGGTTAGAAATGTTGTCCATGCATAGCAGCAGTAGTATTATTATACGAGACCTACTCGCTGTAAATGCTCACTCGTACTTTGTGTTTACTTGTGTTTAAAAAAAAAAAAAAAAAAAGATCACAAAAAGAGCTGGTTGAGGTTCACGGCGAACGTCAGGACACTATAACTGTGGAAGTGGAGCTGAGGTATGAACATCAGAAAAAGTGTTATCACAGAGTATCTCTTTGAGTTACGTTGGCTGTATTTCATTTGTTTCGTTTGCGTTTTCTCAAACAGCAAGATCCCACAGAGTACGGAGCTGACGCAGAGGACAGAAATCACGTCCTCCAGCCAACAATCACTCAGTCATCAAACTTGTACAGTAGCTTCGTCCGCCCCCAGCACTACATGTTCAACCTCTGCATATTCCTCCGCTACTCTTCCTCCTTCCTTTGCGTCATCCTCCTCTGCTCAATGTGCTGCCCAGTCATCCTCTACGCTTTCTTCATCCATCCGTCCGTCCACCAAACCGCTCACCTCTCCAGGAAACGCTCAGTCTTTAACTCTCTCCTCTCCAATCTCTGACTCAAACGCAAAATCTGTTCAGCTCTCCGGTTTGTCTCCGAACGCCTCCGCTCTCACTGCTGCCTCAGCGTTCACCCCCATTCACCCCGCATCCACTAGCTCCTCTCAGCATTTTCCCTCCATGCCTCCCTTTTCAGCCCCTTCAAGCCCCCAGTTGCCTCAGGAAGAACCGCGTACTTCACAAAAGCAGCTTTCGGTGTCCAGCAGCCACAGCTCCTTGGAAGCGGAGGTGCAGGTCTCTGACATTTACTTTGTAAGTTCCTACCCCAAATGTTTCTATATTTATGTCACATATATAAACAGAGAACAGGTCAGGAACTAATCAAAATTAGTTAAAAGGCCACAATTATGTGAGAGTAAGTTAAGACCGGGTAGTGAGGATAACTTGCTTTCTGTTTCTGTATGATCTACTGTATCTTCTGCAGTGGTCCAGTCAGGATAGCGTGGTAGAGTTGTGATGGTGAGAAGGTCTCTGTGTGCACGCTATGGGAGCTGTTCTTCCTGCTTTATTTCCTAAAGCCTGATGCCTGAAAAGGCGCGTGACCTGCTTTTAACTGATATCACCAAAAAACAACCTGCACAGCATGAAGTCTTACCCATCGTTCCGCTTTTATTTGTTCTGTCCTTTCCACTACATCTGGTTCTGATTTTTTGTTTGCCACATTCATTCTGCATTTTATTCTTTTTTTTTCCTGTATAATCTTGTGTAACCCATTTCACATCCCTTGTGTGCTCCTCTGTGTGTCCAATCATCAGTATGCAGATGGAAGATACTGGGTGTATTCTCCAGTTCTTGGCCGCCGTAAACTTAACTCTAGTTCAAGTTACAATGTAAGTCGCTAGCTAGGAAGCTATGGTAGCCTGAAAGACGTGGGATTGCTGCCACATATGTCAGTGCATTGCTGCTAAAATATGATCAAAACAAAACCAGTTTTCATGGATTGTTTGTTGCTGATGGCTAAAGAAAAATGAAATGCACGTGAAAACAGCTGCCTCTTCATTTCCTTCATCAGCAGTAAAAAGTGGTCCATGTATATATATGTAACAAATATCCAGTGAATGTGTAGTTAGTGAATGGCAGCTTGACTCAGCTCTTAATGAGCCCTTGATATTTTTGATTCCCTTTCTTCTGGTTTTGAGAATTGTCTGATTAATAAAGTTGCACTTTGTATTTCTTAATAGTCCCTGGAATTAGTGGTATCAAATATTTAGAAAAAATATGTTAAATTTAGGAATTTAGTTCAGAAATCTTTGAGTCAGGTTCGGTTGAATGTGAGTTATTTCCAGTAAATACTGTTTTGGTTGCTTTTATTTTGTGTACATTTAGATTAAACTGTTCAAGACCAAATCGGACCTTAAAACAAGTCCAGTCTCAAAAACATCATACAAGTTTATGTTTATTATCATCTGAATCTTTAATTAATGTAGGGAATACTTTGAACGGAAAAGCAATTCTCATGAGCAGTAAAGTAAACCATTTTAAAAACAAAAACATGCTCTTTATTTTTACATTGACTTAATTATATAAAATATTTTGACTAGAAATCCCTTCCACCTTTTTTTTCTTAGCAGATTGTAAACATAGGAAAATCATTGAGTCTGACTTCTACCTAATTAATCTCTCTAATGAAATTTGACAAGTATTAATAAGGTTTATAATACAGCATTTCCTTAATCCAATGTAACGTTTTTGAGCTCAGAGTTACTTTAGGAGACCAGAAGGTCGCTTTGAGTGTTGCCCCTGTCAGACTCGCCTCCATCTGAGGCTAACTAATTTGGATTATTCTAAATGTAGATATGTGTGTGTGAATGGGTCAGTTACTGTCAATATAGTGTGAAGTGCTTTGGGGTCCTCTCTGCTTGATAAAACAGTAGACAAGTGCAGGCCATTTTTATCAGAACCTGACTTCAAAAATCCTGAACTTTTCCTTTAGTACAACTGACTCTTTGTAAAGTAATTGAAACTAATTTGAGTTGACGTATGAAAACAAGGAAGAAAAATCACCAATTTGACCCTACCTTACCGACATGCACGATGCAACTTTATTCCATTACATGTAGATAAAATGTGTTTTCAAATTTGTTCTTCCCAATAATCCACCTATTTATTTTTTTCTTTTTCTGCTGCCCCCTGCTGGTTATTTTGTATAACCGCAGGCTCAGGAGGACCAGAGCTGTGGTTTTTCTCCTTTCCACTGCAGCTCTGAGTCCAGAAGAGACTCAGATGTGGACAGTGAAACAGTAAGTCAACACTCCATCCATGATTTATGATAAACTCTAAAAATACCGACTGAATTGATTTATGAATTGACTTTCTCTCTCCCTTATCTGATATTAATCATCTCCATTTCTCCTCCAGTAATTTCAGTCGAAGGCAGCGGCAGTGGGTGGAGCCAGAGGCTTTCTCCTCACACAAAAGCTGTGAGGGTTTAATGATAAAGGCAGCGGGACACTGATGATTTACTGCTGGCTGCTAAAGTTGCATGTAGGAGTCTGCTTTGCTTATAGGAAATCTTATTATCTGGCAAACAGCTGAAAGAATGCAGCTTTGCATTATGCATTCGAACCGATGTACGGAGAGATTTACTGCTAATAAAGTGGAAGTCTACAATGTAGCCACAATCAGGACAATTTGTTCATACAGAAGTAGAGAAACGTATGAATCTTACAGTACAATCAGCTCAGTAGCACTGTGAACAATTGTGATAAAGCTCATGCTTTTAACAGCATCATCATTGTCAAGATTCAAACGCCAATTTAACTCCCACAACATAAATATTGTGTCAATTAATTTAAATTTAATTTCAGTGCAAACCCCACTGTTATTATTCTTTTAAAAGCCAAAAGTCTCTGTATAAGTAACAGCTTGGTTGCAGAGGGAGCAGCCGAAGCAAGGTGAATCAAACATTCCTTTCCCCAGCTCTGCCTATGCAATATGTGTTATCGATTCCTCCTATTGACTCACTTGTAATTAGCTTGGACTTCATTGTGCATTTGTTTTAACTAGAGGGGAGTCAGCTCTGTATAATTTGATTTTAGCACTTTAACCATGTCTATGATTGATCTTAGCACACACACACTCAGACACAGTGTATTTCCTTTACAGTGGTCCTCCAGTGGTGTGTCGTGGTTCATTAAAAAAAAAAAAATAACAATAACAAAAAATGATCTGGAAGCAAGTGGTTTTGTTCAAATTGCCTTATCAACTAACTCATTAGCTTATTTTTTCCTGATAGAAGCATAAAAAAATATGACTTAAGAATTCAAATATGGACAAAAAAAATATTGGTAAGTAAATACCAAATATTAGTAGCAGGGTAAAAGTATGATAGGAGGAGAGACAAAAAAATAAGATAATAAAATGTCTTTTGTAAATCATCAGTTTTCATGTGCATAAGGACATGCATGTAAGTGTGTACATGTTGTGTTGTGTGTGCATGTGTTTGCATGTCTTCAGTGTTCGATTGAGAGATGCACATGTTGATATTTTTCCCTATGTTCTCTTTTTGTCAAATTCTCAAAAGGTGTTGTAACAAGTCATGAAATTCAGCAGCATCTCAATAAATAAAAGGAAATCTGTGTAAAGTCAACTTATTTCAGTAACTTGGCTTGAAAAGTGAAAATCATAGATTTAATGCACTCTGAAGAATTTATTTTAAAAGCTTATTCTTACTAACTTTATGAAAGCTAATGAAACCCAAAATGTTTTTATTTTTTATTTTTTTTTTAGAAAAGCTGAATTCTACTTAAAACCAATAAAGATACTTTATCGTAGAAATAATTTATGTAATGGCCTGGACAGTCTTGGAGAAGATGGCTCACACAGTTGTTCATTATTGACGCCTATAAACAGGATACACTACAATGTGTCATTGTTTAATAAAATGCCTGTATCCAAGTACGTTAAATGAAAGTTGAGTGGAAGGAAAAAGTGTGGAGAAAGACAATTTTAGATTTTTATAATCATACCCACTAGTCCACACAAGGCTGCGCTATCTCAGCTGGTCATTAGATGAGAGGTGGGGTGCTTCCTGCAGTCCTGAAGGCCTGGTTGTCTGTCACATGGATAGGTTGCCACTCCAACACAAAAAACAACCTGGCATTTGCATTTACATGCTAAATGGTAATTTAGAGAGAGCGTTTAGCCTAGGGTTGATGAATCTGGTCTCTAAGAGGGAGACTGGTCCTGACTGGTATGCGCCCAGTCAGGGTTTTAGCAGAAGCATTTTTTTCTTCCAGGCCTCAGGATTAGCAAAAGCTAGCTTTCATAATCATCAAATTCAAAGTAGAACAAGCTGATAATACTCTGTATGTTTATATGTTTATCAGTTTCCCTTTTTGAATGGAGTTACTGACATAAAGTGTCTTTGCATTCCAATTGACTGAGTTTTACTTTTTATTTTAATCACCTGGTTTTCATACTTTAGCTGTCAAGAAAAATAAAATGCAGTTGACCAATTGTTTAATGGCGAATGATACTTCATAACATATGCAGAAATGGAAACTCTTCAGTTTTCCAGACAGTTTTTTTGGCAATACGTCTTTCTTGAACCGTGACCTGCTGAAACAACAGGGAACCGAATCCCTGTCTGAGTTTCTGTTTCTACTGTATCATTTGAGTCTGCCGATGTTGACTTGCCTGTTTGTGGGCAACAGTGTTTGTAGATTATCACTGTGATAAAGTAAATAAAATAAAATTATGTTGTCTAAATATTGTTGGTTATTTCTAATCCATTAAATCACCTAGTTCACTTTTTTTTCCCATTTACGTTTAAATAGATCAGTCCACCAGATGGCACTACAGTGCCTGGAAAGGACTCTGCTGCTGTATCTTGATTATTCTACATCAACACACTGGTTCCTGTTATCTAAAATTGACCCCTCTTTGTTACATTTCAAAATTGAATTTCGCAATCTCATACGGTGAATTACTAGCCACCTGTAGGCCATATTTCTCTTTATCGTGTTCTTGATGGACCATAAAAACGCTCATATTTAAAGTCACATTCATTAGCCCTCCATATAATAGTAAGGTGTTAATGCACAAAAAATTATATGAAATCTTTATTACTTCAGTGGGTATGGCTTTTATATTTTATAGCTGCAGGCTGTAGTGCCTAAGGATGATGGATAGAAAAAAGATTCAATAATGCTTTCTCTTAAGAGGACTCTTTGTGTCATGTCATAGTGTTCATACCAGTTACACTTTTTTACATTTGTTGTGATATAATAATGCAAAGTAGTCTACAATTGTGACATAAAAAAAAAAAAGTAAAAATATGGTATGCTACATGGCATTTTGCATCTGAGCGACTTCTTTGATATGCATTCTGTGTACTCCCGTGTGGATTACAGCAAACTGCATGGGGTTATTATTGTTACTGTCTTTCAGCAATGTAACAGTCTAGCGTCTGTTTATGAACAAATTTGTAGTAATTATCAATATTAATTGTTCTGTCAAAAGATTCCTTCACCTGAGTTTTTAGTCTTTGCAGCTCCCCCAGAATAACCATGGATCGCTTGGCTACTGCTCCAAATTTGAGTCTCTTTACTTAACTTGTTTGGGTGAATTGTTGAAGACGCTCCAAAGTATTAATTTATAATCTAATCAGTAAATCTCTTCACAACTTTTTTCTTGAGGTGTCTGCTCTTTACGATGCTGTTTCTTCACTTATGTTTTCTAACAAACCTCAGAACCTTCACTCAGATTGAATTTTTCACAGATGGATCATTTGCTAATTAATCAAATTATATAGCTAGTCATTGAACACATTTTTTTATAGGGAGAGAGAAAAAGGGGGGGATGATTACAAATGGACAACAAATACTGTTAGTCTTAGCATAGGGAGGTTTTTGTAAAGAACTTAGCAAACTGTAGGGTTTTTTTTAATCAATTTTCTGATGTGCTGTCCTGCCAAATTGCATTGAGCTCTGTGGTTGTAATGCCAAAAGTAGCCCAAGGTGTATATATAATTTTAAAGTTTCTACATATTTAGGAACACAATTTAAATTCATGTTAAGTTACATTTAAAAATGACTTTTAGAAAATACATGCAAATGAGCACATGCTACTTTTAGAATGCCAGATGTTTCCAGTTGCACATCTATTATGCTGAGGATGGGGGTGCTTTATGTAGAAGTTGAAGTTGTGAATGTCACTCATGGTGACAAGTCAGCCATGTCTGGCCATGATGGAATGTGTGATGGACAAGGATCAGCAGCCACCTGACAAACTGGCCTGGAATGAAATTTTTCTGGTACAAACGCGCACGCACACACATGTGTATCCTGAGAACACATAATCCTTTTTCTCCTTCCTGTGTCTGTTCAAACAGCTTTCACGGGTATCTGTTTGCCAGAGCTTCCTGTTCCACAAGTACAACTGGATCCTGAGCATAGGTTATTGTTGCAAAACTGTTCAGTCAGATGACACCACAAATAACCCTAGTTGTCTACAATTAGATTTTTAAAAAAGGGCGTTATTCTCAATTTTTCAACACTATTGTGTTTGAACAATCCAAAATGCTACTTCTTGGTGATAAACAGACTGTTTTCAAGATGCTAGATCACAGGGAGAGATGTATTTCTCAATAATATGTTCTGTAGAAGGACACTTAATGTTTTCTTAGTGTCTTCATTTAGTATAAATTAGAGACAGACAGATGTAAAAATAAAATTCTACCACTTTTAAGCAGCACCAATCTTAGAAACGGCCCAGTAACCTCTTAACACGTTAACTCCCATAACAATCCCTGGACAAATGCAATTTTCACTTTTTGTTGACGTTTGTCGAAATGTTTTATTACGTAAAACTTGTATCTTTTTCTTCACATAAAAAAAAAAATATTCAGAAACATCTGTTTACTGTTCATTCAGTACAGAGATCAAACCCACAGAAAGAGAAAAAAACAAAAATAAAAAACAGGGTTGAGAAAAACGGGCGCAGCAGTATCGGACCTTTACGTTGCCTTCACTTGAGGATACTCTGTTTATCTCCAAAACCCAATTTCATGGGTTGAACTGAAGACAGGATGAATGCCTTTCTTTGTCAGGTGTCCTTTGCTCCTCTGCTCTGCTGCGTGCTCTCATCCACACATCAGACACCTGTGACTCTGAATGAGAATAATAGGTTTCTGATTATCATGATGTCTTCATCGAAACCTTCGTGGCAAATAAATGTAATAACAAACCTAATTTTAATTAAATAAATAAATTGGAGTGGCGGCACCTGTACCAAAGGTGAATGGGTCATCTCAAAGCTGGGCTTTCATCTCTGGGGACCATAGACAAATGCCTTTGTTCTTTCAAAGAGGAGAGGGGCGAAAGCCACAACAAACAGGGCGTGTGTGCACCCTGTGTGTGTGTGTGTGTGTGCGTGTGTGGGTGTGTGTGTGTATGTGTTTCTGCATGTGAAAAGGAAGGAAAGTGAAGTTGATGGAGAGAGAAAGAGAAAATGCAGAGACAGATCAAAGCAGGGGGTATGTTTTTGAAACCCTGTGTGGGAGGTGAAGCCTCACCTACCCAGAATGCCTTGCCTCACTCCTTCCAGCCCACTCAGGTTTTTAGGAGCATCACTTTTCCTTTTCAGCCTTTGCAGTGCGTTGTGCCACCTCTTCATCAGTCATCTCAAGCTATTCTCAGTGTCTTGAACAGGCAATTTGATTCGAACCGGCAGTCAATCTCTACAACCTGGATCGCACACAAACACTTTTGCTTGCTTTAAATGCATTTTATCCATGATGCAGAAAATAAAACCCACAGAACATCAATACGTGATGTCTTGGTGAAAGATCTCCATCTGAACACCTTCTCAACTTGATCAGAGCCCATCCCCCCCTTTTTCTTTTTTTTTTCCCAGCATCATGGAGTGATCGAAACATCTCTTTTTAACTCAGCGTGAGAAGCAGCAACCAGATGTGTATCTGTCCACACAGAGGGGATGTCATGCCCTCTCTGCAGCATGAAAAGCTGTAAAAGACTCTCCGTTGCGTTGTCAGTGTCTTAAGGCAGTGTTTATCTTTGGCAGACCGAAGAAAACAAAGTCATCGATTTCTAATCCTAATCCCCTTCCACTGCCTCTCCCCTATTGATCACCAATCCTTCTTTAATTAGATGGAGGATAGAAGGAAACTGAGATGTAGGGCTGATGAAGGACGAAACTTTCCTTGACAGATTGGTGCTGTCTCTTTACCTCCCTCCATCGTTTTTACTCTGTCTCTCTCAATCAGGAAACTATCACTAAGTTGATGGTGGACTGGAAGACGAATGCAGCCACTCGGGTACTTTTCAAATCAAAGGTCTGCAGAGATGCTCTGAAGATAGTAATTACACAGATCCTGAAATGCAACCACATTGACAAACACACTCTGAAATGTGTACTTAAGCAGATTGAGGGTTAAATTTCAGGCTAAACACCAATAAGTGCATTTCTGCCTCTCTTCAAAATAGAGACAGCGTGTGTGATGCTACCTTTTAGTTAATGAACGACTCCTCTATAAGGTTAACGCTGCTGTTCAATAAAATTGAAACTTGTCCTCTCTGGTGAGAGGGAAGTCAAATCTGGTGGAGCTGACAGGAAACCCAGTGGAGACTAGAGTTACATCCATTTGGTAACATCCTTGGCAATTCAAAGGATTGTGTTTTTTTGGATTCAAGAAAATGTTTTCAAACCTAAGAACAGTCAATTCTCTTGATTCTTCACTGCAGATCAACAACTAAACTTTCATACAAATGAGTAAAGTTATATTGATGCTATCAGATCAGAAAAATCCCGCTATGAAACACTTTCTGCACCCAATTCTTGTTAAGAAATATAAGAAAATTGTCTCTCTATCTTGAAAAATAACTGTTCAAATGCATCATTAAAAGCCCAAAATTATTAGGATGTGTTTGAAATTATTTGCACATTCAAACCTAACTGTACATGTCACTCTAATTAGACTTCTGTAGGGCAGTAGCTTGTCTAAACCCACAGTTATATTCTTCCTACCATTGTTTTATCAACCTGTCTGATGGCTGCTTCTTTACCACTGAAGTCTTTAGAGACTGATTTGATTTTAGAGCAAAACTTAGAAGGATCAGTCAGGCAGTGCCTGACTACCCAACATGGGCTTTTGACTCATGAATGAGGAAAATAATGAACGTTAATGTTCATTATTGTTGGCACAATCATTATTGTACCAACTTACTACTTTTAACAACACATGAAATAATTATGGATTGGCTCAAAGGAGAAGTGAACAATACATTGAATTACAATGTCAGTGTACAACCACAAAGACAGGCTTGAATGCAATATTTATAAGGCTTTTGTGTTTGAAATACATATTCTCCATATCTACAAGATTTTCACAAAGTACATTTTTCACATCTGACATTTTGTTGCAAATTGTGAGATGTAAAGTGTTTGTGAATGTTGTGCAGAAGGACAAGGAAAAACAGCCTTGTTAACCCTGAGCATCATTTGTAAACACTTTGACTTCTGAATTTTTTCTGGATCTTGGTCAGGGATACGCTTGTGAAAAGAGGTTTCTAATCTCAACGGGACCTTTCTGGTTTAATAAAACGTAAATAAAAAACAAAACAAAATTGAGTCACTGTTGAAATAAAAACATGACAGCATACTTTTAAAGCATTCAGCTTTTAAACCATTGTAAGTAAGATGGCCGGTGCTGGAGATGAAACGCAAGACTACTGGAAGAAACAGTGTGA